CCACAGAGTTTGAAGGGACCTTTGAAGTCCAACGTTCTGCTCAAGCAGGAGACCCTACTCCTCCTCCTTCTCCTCCTCCTCCTCCACCTCCTCCTCCTCCTCCTCCCCCTCCTCCTCCTCCTCCTCCTCTTCTTCCTCAAAATAACCGAGTTGGGATGGATCTTGGAGATCTTGTAGTGCAACTTCCTCCTCAAGCAGGACCCTTATATCCCTCCTCCTCAAAATAACAGGGTTGGAACAGACCTTGGAGGTCTTTTACTCCTCCTCCTCTTCCTCCTCCTCCTCCTCCTCCTCCTCCTCCTCCTCCTCCTCTCTGAATAAGAGTTGGAGTTCTTTTTGTAAAGTTTTTTTTTTTAAAAAAACCATACATCAATATCATTTTGTGGACAGTGTGAGTGTCAATCATTTTCATACAAAAGCAATGATAATACAATGAGCATTACTAAATTAATCCGACTTATGCAATCGAATGTTGTTATATACATAACTACATCAACACATAATCCTTCATCTTTCAGGTATAAATATTTGCTACATCCTTCTAATAGTAACAGCATTATTTTTGAGCAGGCCTAATAACAACCTTTTTCAAACTCTGATCCTGACCTCTAATATTCACTTTAAATCTTTTAAGTAAAGGTATGTATAACAATATCCCCCCCCCGCCATTCTAATTTTTTTTGTCTCTGAATAACAGAGTTGGAAGGGTACCTTGGAGGTCTTCTAGTCCACCCCACCCCTGCTCAAGCAGGAGATCCTATGCCATTTCACCACAAAGTTGCCGTCGTGCTACTCCTTGCTCAGGGTGGATCCCTCCAATCCCAAAACACTCAAATGGTGCAATTCCCCGGAAAGAAGGAATGCTGTGTGTGTGTGTGTGTGTGTGTGTTCTTCACACTTTTCTTGCTGTCTGAGCAGCTGCTGTGAAGGTAGCGGTGACTCTCGTACAGTATCACAAGAAGCTGACTCACATCCGTACGAAGGACTTGGCAATTTGATCCCTGTCCCCTTCCTGGAGAGCTGCTGACCTTTCTACTTATGGACCTGAAGTGAAGCTGGCACTGTCACCAGAAACATGGAGGAATGTGGACAGGCGCCTGGTCATTCCAGGTCATTGGAGAAGGGGGCTTGCTTCTGCCTCTCTCTTCATTTAGGGAGATAGACAAGACCCCCCTTCTTCCCCTACTACTCAAATCGCCATTTTCCTAGATCTTTCTGGATCTTTCCCAGCATTATTGATCCAGTGAGGAGCCTGCAATGGCAGACCTGGAATTTTACTATGACTAAGCCCGTTGCAATGGTGATCAGCTTAGTTACTTGCTGGCTGAACATCAACCGCGGCAGCCTCGTAAAAATGCTGCTACGGCTTCCGACGGAATCGTGAAAGGAGGAATCGTGATGGGATCTGTTCCTGAGGCCAGCTCTGTGGATTTGCTCAAGATCCCCACTCAGCAGGGAGGCGGTGGACCTCCAAGGGGCAGGAATTCAGACGGGAAGTGATGGCATGCAGCGACGAGTAGCATTATGTCTTTGTTGTACAGTCTCCAAGTCGTGCCTGACTCTTCGCAACTCCATGGACCATGGCAGACCAGATCACACCCCTGTCCTCCATTATCTCTTAGAGTTCTCCCAAATTCACGTTCGTTGCGTTGACGAGCCTACCCAACTGTGGCAGGATTCAAATTTTTTTACTACCAGTTCTGTGGGCGTGGCTTGGAGGGCGTGGCAGGGGAAGGTTACTGCAAAATCCCATTCCCTCTCCACCCCACTAACCTGCTTTCCAGCTCTGTTCTCCTGTGCAGGGCAACCAAAGGAGACCCAGCCGATCAGCTGGGACTGAATGGGAGGCAGAGAAGAGATGGGGTTGGCTGGCACAGTGTTTAGAATGCAGTACTGCAGGCTAACTCACTGCTCACTGTCAGCAGTTCGATCCTGACTGGCTCAAGGTTGACTCAGCCTTCCATCTTTCCAAAGTGGGTAAAACAAGGACCCAGATTGTTGGGGGAGTAAAAGGCTGACTCTGTAAACCGCTTAGAGAGGGCTGTGGAGTACTGTGAAGCTGTATATAAGTCTTAAGGGCTATTGCTAACTCTGCCCACTGCTAGGAGTTCGTTCCTGACCAGCTCGAGGTTGACTCAGCCTTCTATCCTTTGGAGATCAGTCAAATGAGGACCCAGATTGTTGGAGGCAACATGCTGACTCTGTAAACCACTTAAAGAGGGCTGGGAAGCACTGGGAAGTGGTATATAAGTCAAGGAAGGAAGGAAGGAAGGAAGGAAGGAAGGAAGGAAGGAAGGAGGGTCCTGGTGGCAGGTTAGAATGCAGTATTGCAGGGTAACTCTGCTCACTGCCAGCACTTCGATCCTGACCTACTCAGGTTGACTCAGCCTTCCGTCCTTCTGAGGTGGATAAAATAAGGAGCCAGATTGTTGTGTGTGTGTGTGTGGGGGGGGCGGGCAATAGGCTGACTCTGTAAAGCACTTAAAGAGGACTGTAAGGCACTGTGAAGAGGTATATAAGTCTACATGCTATTGCTATACTAAGTTGGAAGGAAGGAAGGAAGGAAGGACCGTGTTGGTGCAGTGGTTGGAATGCAGCATTGCAGGCTGATTCTGCCAACAGGCTGCAGTTTGATTCTGACCAACTCAAGGTTGACTCAGCCTTCCTTCCTTCCAGGGTTGATAAAATGAGGGGGCAGCTTGTTGAGGATGATAGGCTGACTCTGTAAACCGCTTAGAGAGGGCTGTAAGGCACTTTCATTTCAATTTCATTGAGGGCGACATCAATCAGCCAGGAGTGGGATTTGGGGCTTCTCAGAATTGTACAGAATTTTAGCTGGGGGGGTCTCCCAAAGCCCTGTGAACCCCCAGCAGCCCACCCCTATCCCTACAAATACAAAGCAGCCCCTGTTCACTTTCATTGCCTGGAGCCAGATATTGGAACTTGCTGGCTGCAAGACAAGACAAGTTCTCTAAGCTTCTCTCATTCCAAATATGGCCCTTCTCTTCCATGGTGAGATTATCTGAAGTCATGAGGTCCCTTCCTCTGTCAGAGTTGTGAGGGGCTGGTGGTTTGCATGTCGATTAGCAGTGTGTTTGTTGTGTTATCACACCCTTAGCTGTCTCTTTGTCAGCAATTTGGCATAGCCCACTGAAACCTCTGACTGACCGTCAGTTTCTTGAGTCTTTAACCAAAATTGGGAGGAAAGATAAGAGGAATGGGTCCCTGCTAATAGCTTGTGGGTTGCGTTTTCCCCTCCTCAAAATACAACCACCACCCCCGTGGCCCAGCTGATTGGAAAACTAATCCCTGCCAAGAGGCAGAGAGAATGTTTGGTATGCAGGAATAACACTCAGATTAATTCCTTCTTCTCTTCTGCTCAACTTGTCATTTGATTGCTAAGTTGTGTCTGACTCTTCACAATTCCGTGGATCAGCCTCCCCTGCCCTTCTGAGCATGCAATATTGTGCTTTACAGCATTGGATTTTACTTTCACCCCCTGACACATGCACAACTGAGTGTCCTTTTGGCTTTGGTCTGTACTGCAAACCCAAGAATACACTAAAGCACAAGCTTGTCCATAATAAAATTTGGAATTTATTTTATGAATGGCTGGATAGAAGAGTAAAGGATTGAATTATGTAAGTACAGTGCAATATATTGTTATTGATAAATGGACGAATTAGATAGAGTAAGAAAATGAATTTGAAATATATTATTGAAAGTCAACAATTATAAAGCCAAAGATAATAGAATAAATGATATATGCGGTATAAAATACTGATTAGAATGATTATAAACATATACAAGTTAAATATGTATGATAACATTATTTTATGCATGAAGAAATATGTACCCAACTGACACACTGTGGAACAGAAAGAAGGTTTTATATGTTTGTTTTTTGTCGTTATAAAAATAAAAAAACTTTTATTAAAAACAAACACCCAGACAAACTAAGCAACATGATATATATGCAGTGAGCCCTGTGCAGATCTGTGCATTGGGGAAACAAAACAGCCACTTCACAAGTGCATGACACAACATAGGAGAACAAACCCACCAGGACTAGATTCAGTGGTCCATCTGCATTTAAAAGGCAATTTTTAAAGACAACCAAGTCCACATTTTGGATAGAGAAGACCGCTGGTTTGAAAGAGGGGTCATAGAGGCCATCTATGTCAACACTGAACAGCTCTTGCTCAACAGAGGGAGGAGGGATACAATATCATCTATCTCCAGGCTACAACACACCCCTTTCAGCACTTCCAAGAAGGCTCCATACCCTTTTGCACCACTCAGGTGACCCTGAAGACACAGGGAAACCTCCAAGTGGCCTCAATGACCCTCTAAAAGGATGCAAATGACCAGCTGTCTGCAAGGAGTATAAATCCTTCCATTCCCCACCATCCTGTCAGAGCTGAAGAAGCTTCTTGGATGAGAAGTGAAATATCTTCAAAGACAAACCAGAAAGTCCAGTTGCCTCCTGAAAAAAGGACCTTTGGGATTCACAACAGATTATTTCCACCATGTTTTTTCATCCACTTACACACCTTATAATTGTTCAACTCTTTCCCCCATCCTTACTTTATATTCTCCCATGATACACAAATTCTTACACTTTTTGTTAAGGAGTGTATTGTTCCAGATGGCCACTTGAGAACACAGGTTCTCTGAACTTCTTTTAATTTCTTTACTCCATTTCAGTGCTAATCACAAGTGCCTTGGTGTTTGCTGATATTTTTCGAATACATATTCATAGTGAGTATGCATATCAAATCTACTCAGCGCTTGTTGCAAATGATTTGAGTCTTTACACAACATATCACACTCTATATATGGAAGTAGTTAGAGATTTGCCTTCCCAAATAACCAATTTGTAAGCATCTGCTATATCTTTATTGTAAATTCATTAAACAAGAGAAGATCCTTTCTTTAGAGGCAACCTCAAAAAAAAAAAAGAAGCCCAAATGTCAAAATAAAACTACTTTCCACATAAATTAGAAATTCTTGCACCTAATGATATTTTCTCTGTGATTCAGATCAGGCCTCCACAGGATAATATAACATTTGGGGAGAAAGATGCAAACCAAGAGACCAGCCCCAGAGGCCAAGATGGAGAAGATCTCCACGGCCACCATGTATTTCCCTTTGGTGCTCAGGTAGGTAGGGAGGAAGGTGATCCAAACACAGCAAAAGACCAGCATACTGAAAGTAATGAACTTAGCTTCGTTAAAGCTGTCAGGCAATTTCCTAGCCAGAAAGGCCACTGTGAAACTCACAAGGGCCAGGAAACCCAGATAGGCCAGGACAGCATAAAACATCAAAGCTGAGCCTTCATTACATTCCAAGATGGCCTCTCCTACGAAGGAGTGAAAATCCATGTTGGGAAATGGAGGGGAGGTAACCAGCCAGGTGGCACAAATAATTGCTTGGATCAGGGGACAGGCTATCACCATGGAATTGGTCAGAGGTTTTCCTAAGAGTTTCCTTGTCTTGTTCCCCGGTTTGGTAGCCATGAAAGCCAAAACCACCATGACAGTTTTTGCCAAGACAGAGGAAACTGCAAGGGAAAAGAAAATGGCAAAGTTAGTTTGTCGGAAGAGACAGGTGAGAGTCCCGGGTCGACCAATGAAGAAGAAGGAGCAGAGGAAGCAGAGCAGAAGGGAGACCAGGAGGACATAGGTGAGATCTCGGTTGTTGGCCTTGACAGTTGGAGTGTCACAATGTCTAAGGAATATCACCAGAACTGCAGATGTAGTCACAGAAAGAGAAAGAGTGAGAGAAACCAAAATGGATGCCAGGGTGTCTTGATAGGCAAGAAAGTGGATCTTCTTGGCAATGCACCGGACCTTGTCCTCGTTGGGATAGTAATCTTCTGGGCAAGGGTCACAGCGAACTGTATCTGAAATCAAGAGTCTTTGTCTTAGGACTTCAGGGTCATCCACTAGGAGTTTTATTCCCCCTCCCCTCCTAGGGTCCCCATTTGACCCTTTCTGGTGAGCATAACTCACAAAGGAAGTGATGAAAAAAACTCAGTAGCTTCAGGTGCCTTAAAAGATAGAGATTGTAGGTTTAAAATGAGCACAGGGATCAATTGGTTAAAGATCAGGATCTCTCTTCTGCACTTGCATGATTATTTCAATTTGTTTTCACAGGGAGAAATTGGGAATTTGATCTCTTTTCCTCAGATCATACTGGAAGCCCCCAAAAGATTGATAGATCTGTCAGTTGGCGATCCTGCTATTTGCTTCTTTAGGTACATTGTCTGTTGGTGGGTCATAAGATCAGAAAGTGCCACACACACACACACACACACACACACACATGCCTAGACAAGAACACTCACATCCCTGTGTGGAATGGGAGGTCTGTGAGGAGGGAGAATGAATTTTTTCCTATTTCAAATCACTTTCTCCCATCAGGCATCCAGAGATTTTTTGCAGGAAGGGGCGATCGGACACAGGTAGATTGATCTATTTCTCTGACATGCCTGAAAGTTTCCAGGGAAATTGATAATCCCGACATAAGAGGCACACTAAAAGTAACACAAATGAACAGACACACTGCTCTATTAATTCATAAAAAGGATCAGTAGCTGGCTTTCCCTTTGTGTGTGGTAGGAGGAGCAGAAAGGACAGCAAGAAATCTACAAATTGCTGCCTTGACTCCCATCATGCATGAAATTGGGTCAGGAGAGAAGCCCTGACAATCATCATTCCTCAGGGGTGGCAAGTTAAGCAGTAGACAGGACCATTTGTATCCACACCCTGAAGCATGTGAAACCACGGGTGGTATTCTACTTGGTCAGACCGGTTCTATAGAACCTGTTGTTATGATTCTGCGCAGTTTGGAGAACCAGAAAATTGTGAACTGGTTGGCCCCGTGCCTCCCTGCACCGTCCGCTCACTCCTTACCTGGCATGAGTGCCGTCAAACTTTCCTGCATTTGGTAGGTTGCTATTTTTTTCCTTCCCCCTAACCATCGGCTGTTCTGTTGTGCTGGAAGATTTAGATTAGCTAATACAGTGGTTCCCAAACTTTTTCAGTCCACCGCCCCCTTGGTGCTACAAACTCATCCTCAATGAGGGCGGGATTCAAATTTCTGTGGGTGTGACCTAATTTGAGGGTGTGGTTTGCTGGTTATGTGACTGGGTGGGCGTGGCTTGCTGGTCACATGACTGGGTGGGCATGATTTGGTGACTGGCAAACCAAATACAAGTGGTCCTCACTTAATGACCAATTGCTTAGCAAGTGTTCTAATTTATGACTGGCCTCCCCGGAGCTATTTGACCTGCTTTGGAATTTTGACAGCCATGCACACACATACACACACACTCCCTTCTAACCCTGCTGGAGCAGGTCATTGGATTAGAATTGGCAAAGCATCTCTGATTAGATTCTAGAAGATTCTTGTTGAATTGTTTTATTTGTATTTTAATTTGTAGATCTCTGAATGAATCTGTGACTTTGTGAGCAACTCAATCTACCTGCCTGCTTGTCCAATTTTGGGTAAAAGTTGCTCTCTTTTTTCATAAAAAAAATATACATACATAGTGTGTTGTCGGCTAATTTTGTGAGTTTGCTTGGTAGCAAATTTTATGTGACAGACTCAGGTAGCAGATTGCAGAAGAATAGATATCTGAGTGAATCTGTGATTCTGTGAGCAACTCAATCTGCCTGCCTGCTTTGCCTGATTTTGAATAAAAGTTGCTCTTTTTAAAATAAAAATTCAATATTTACATAAATATTTATAATATTTACATACAAGCCACACCCAGCCACAAAGCCACACCCACAAATTAGGCCATGCCCACAGAACCAGTTGTTAAGAAATTTGAATCCCACCACAAGGGGTCTCAGGCATGACTCCTTTCTTTAGAGGCAACCTCAAAACAAAATTGAGGTGAATTTTGAATCAAGTGAATCCAAATTACATGAACTGCTTCCTTGACATGGAAAGATATACAATGGTAGGGAGCATCGGAAGATTGCTTGTGAAGATCTCATAAGAGAGTTATTCTCAAGGGTGTACAGCACTTAATAAAAAAAGAAACACATAAATGCATATAAAACATTTGATAATATTGTTATTATTAAATATTATAAAAATATGCACATAAAACAAGATTAACAGTGTTGGAAGGACCTTGTAGGTCATCTAGTCCAACCCCCCAGCCCGAGCAGGAGACCCTACACCATTTCTGACAGAGGACAGTCCAGTCTCTTCTTGAAAGCCTCCAGCGATGAAGCTTCCACAACTTCTGTTCCATCCGTTGATTATTCTCACTGTCAGAAAGTTTCTCCTTATTTCTTAGTTTGAACCTCTCCTGGATCAGTTTCCATCCATTGTTCCTTGTCTGGTCTTCGGGGGCTTTGGAGAATAGCTTGACCCCTTCCTCCTCCTCTCTGGGGCAGACCCTCAAATATTGGAAGATCGCTATCATGTCTCCCCTGGTCCTTCTCTTTACTAGACTAACCAAGCCCAGTTCCTGCAACTGTTCTTCCTATGTTTCAGCCTCCAGTCCCCTAAAATCATACTGGTTGCTCTTCTCTGCACTTTTTCTAGAGTCTCAATATCTTTTTTTATAGTCTGGTGACAAAAACTAGATGCAGTATTCTAGGTGTGGCCTTACTAAGAAGTTAGCTGCAGTAAGGGACTCATCACAGGTCCTCTGGAATGCCCAGGTGTGGTTGTCATAGCTTCCGTCTCCCAGGAAGATCTACAGTGGAAGAAAGTTCCACAGGTTTGTTCTACCTGTCTGATTAGAAATGGTCCCTTCTGGACAAGGGTCACATTGGTAGCAGCAGATCTGCTTGCCCTCTGGCACTCTGCACCTCTCTCCTGCCTGGCACCTCTTCATGCTACACCTGGCAAGGGGCACCTTCTAAAAGAGAAAAAGAGAAATGATTGAGATGGCTTAAGCAATGAACGTGCTTCATTTACTCAGGAAGGTATCCACAAACATCAACTAGCCATCAGAAGACATGATGAAAATTATTGAATTTCACAACATTTAAACAGATTGAATTATCATTTTAATTGGGAAAATGTGACCTCCCTAGACCAAGCCAAATCCAAAAATGCCAGAGAATTTCTAGAAGCCTGGCATTCGGACAAATCTAACATCCAATGACATTTAATAAATAGAGACAATAAATGGACCTGCGACAAACGAGATCTCAAATGTGTTACATTTAAAGCAGGTTTTTTAAATGATATGTCTTCCATATATGTCTGTCTTTCTTTCTTTCTTTCTTTCTTTCTTTCTTTCTTTCTTTCTTTCTTTCTTTCTTTCTTTCTTTCTCTCTCTCTCTCTCTCTCTCTCTCTCTCTCTCTCTCTCTCTCTCTCTCTCT